AACATTTTTGTTGACACATCTACAATAAGGAAAACATTAAACAAGAATGGAGTACATGGGAGGACACCACGGAGGAAGCCATTGCTGTCCCAAAAAAATATTGCAGCACGTTTGAAGTTTGCAAAAGAGCACCTGGATGTTCCACAGCACTACTGGCAAAATATACTGTGGACAGATGAAACCAAAATTGAGTTGTTTGAGAAAAACACACAACACTATGTGTGGAGAAAAAAAGGCACAGCACACCAACATCAAAACCTCATCCCCACTGTAAAACATGGCGGAGGGAGCATCATGGTTTGGGGCTGCTTTGCTGCCTCAGGGCCTGGACGGATTGTTGTCATTGATGGGAAAATGAATTCCAGAGTTTATCAAGACATTTTGCAGGAAAATGTACGACCATCTGTCCGCCAACTGAAGCTCCGCAGAGGATGGGTGATGCAATAGGACAATGACCCAAAGCATACAAATAATTCAACAAAACAATGTCTTCAACAGCACAGAATACGCCTTCTGGAGTGGCCCAGTCAGAGTCCTGACCTTAACCCGATTGAAATGTTGTGGCATGACCTTAAGAGAGCGATTCACACCAGACATCCCAAGAATATTGCTACACTGAAACAGTTTTGTGAAGAGGAGTGGTCCAAAATTACTCCAGATCGTTGTGCAGGTCTGATCTGCAACTACAGGAAATGTTTGGTTGAGGTTATTGCTGCCAAAGGAGGCTCAACCAGTTATTAAGTCCAACGGTTCACATACTTTTTCCTCCCTGCACTGTGAATGTTTACATGTTATGTTCAATTAAACCATGGCAACATGTAATGTTTGTGTATTATTATTTTCAGCAGACTGTGTTTTTCTATTGTTGTGACTTAGATGACGTTCAGAGCACATTTTATGACCAATCCATGCAAAACTCCGTGTTATCCCAAGGGGTTCACATACTTTTTCTTGCAACTGTATACATTGATTCCTCTATAATCTATGACCGTTCATGTTTATTAATTAACGTATAATAGAATACCTGCATATTATGTATAAAATGTCAACCCCACTTACAGCCTCAATAATATAACTGTTTTAGTAATCATCAAGGAGAGATCTCCTCAGCCATCTTGCAGAGGTGATTGGCAGGTTGCTACAAAAACAAGGAAAGCCAAGTGTGTTCAATTGATTACATTGATTTTGAACTGTTTGTGTACTTCTTGATTTTCCTATCAGGGCAGACTATACAACGTAGTATATTAGAACAGAACTTCTGAAATCAATTGTGCATGAATTCCCGACTAAATTTCTCTTATTTTAATGAGTTGCTTCATTTAATGGGCTTGCTGTTAATATGATTTGTGGGAATCCAATCCCAGTAATGTTGCAAACATTTATTTTGGAATTCCCTATAATGACTGTATGTCTCAGAACGGTTGGCCTCTTTGAAGAAGGTGGCAAAATAATCTTGAAGATAGAATTATTATGTTGTTGGATAAGTAAAATGTCATACCAAGTTGTTTCTGTGAAAGCATAGGTTTCAGTAAGGATTCAAAGGTGAGTTAAGTTCTAACATTACTCCCATTATTTGAGTAAGGTCTTAGTCTTAAGATCTAATGTGAAGGCTTGTTTAGAAAGCAGGCTTGTATCCATTTTGTAATTCACTCATTCTTTTCCAGTATGTTCTATATCAGGGATGGTGAACCTTTTAGAGATCAAGTGCCCCAAAACCGGCTTGCCCCCTGGCCTGCCCCCGCTCTGCCCCCCGCTCCACCCGCCCACAGGGCCACTCACCACAGGCAGCCTTGGGGCGCCATGGCGGCCACACCCTTCGCCCGCACTCCGCAACATTATCTGCAGGTGATGGGGCGCAAGGGCGGAGTCTTGCCCCTGCTCCCCGGCTGCCATGTGCTTGGCTGTGTGGGCTGCGCCTCTGGGCAGGCTGCTGGTGAGGGGGTTGCAGTGGTAGGCGGGGCTGGGGCTCCGAATGCCACCTCTGGCACGCGTGCCATAGGTTCGCCACCACTGTTCTATATTCTTCGTTGGCATTCTGGTGTGCGGCAGTGATTGTTGAGGCATAGTTTGTTAAAGTAAGAACATCAAAAGGACCATTCTGAATGACACAAAACATTCATCCAGTCTAGCATATAGGAAAGCCCTTGTGTACATGTAGTCCTTGACTTGCAACAGTTCATTTAGTGATCATTCAAGGTTACAATGGCACTGAAAAAAAAGTAACTTATGACCATTTTCCACACTTATGACCATTGCAGCACCCCCTTGCTCACGTGACCAAAATTTGGATGCTTGGCAACTGGTTCATATTTATAGCAGTTGCCAGGTCCCGGGGTCATGTGATCAACTTTTGCGAGCTTCTGTCAAGCAAAGTCAGTGGGGAAGCCAGATTCACTTAACAACCGTGTTACCAACTTAACTGCAATGATTCACTTAACAACTGTGGCAAGAAAGGGGAAAAAGTCACTTAAATGTTTCCCTTAGCAACATAAATTTTGGGCTGCGTTGTGCTCGTAAATCAAGGATTACCTGTATTGCCTTCTTTTCTTTCAGAGTCCTATAGTGTCCAGTTTTAGATATATTCCCAATGTAGTGTATAGCAATAGCAGTTAGACTCATATACTGCTTCACAGTGCTTTACGGCCCTCTCTAAACGGTTTACAGAGTCAGCATTTCCCCCCCCCCCCCAACAATCTAGGTCCTCATTTTACCGACCTCGGAAGGATGGAAGGCTGAATGAACCTTGAGCCAAGATACTATACATTGTAAATTCAGGATGGCCGTTTGGTGATTCTTACATCCTAAGCTGAATTTGTGCACTGACAAATCCTGCTTATTTGCCTGCATAAATTTAACAATTTCTTGGACATGTCTGTTTGTGAGTGAGGTTGCAGTCTGGAGGAAATTAAAAATATTCTGCAACTTCCTGATTTTGAACTTTGAATTTGTTACAGCTAGGAAAGCTTGCTGCCTAAAGGGTATAAGATGTGGTTAATTTTAATGATTAAATTATCCAAGCCTAAGTGTATGGTTCAGGAAGATTAGTTTCAGGATACTGCTGGTGAGACTGCTGCACAGAGCTTCAAGGGGCATCTTTTCAATCTTTGAAAAAAATCACTGCCTGAAAACTATTTCTTCCACTAATCCATGTTATCCGATTTTATAATGGAGCAATAATAAGTTTTGAAGCAGCATTTTTAAGATTGTAGTTTAACTGGATGAAGTGTGCTGTTTTAACCAGCAGTTTATGGCAAACTGCCTTGAAGATAATTTCATATAAAAGCAGTATATTACAGAAACTGTAATAAGAGGAACAGGGAAAAAAGAAATACAAGTTCTTAAATTTTGAGCCTGCTTTTCACCAGTTCTTATCTAAGTGGGAAAAGGCATGAAAATTAGGTAGGTGTCATATTAAATTATACTTAAAATTAATGTGAAATGGAGCAAAGAACAACTTTTAAAAATAGTTTTCATTCTAAAATGCATTTATGTATTAGTAAGTATAGAATAATATATTTTTTTCCTTTCAACTAGATGAGTGGTTCTTTTTGTTGTTAATTCATGCAATACTTTAACTTCTCTCTCTCTCTGTCACACACACACACAAACACATACACACACACACGTAATCTACCTCCTACCTACTTACCTACTTACCTTCACTATTAGGAATAAGAATAGGAAATGGAATAGGAAGTGGAAGTGGAATAGGAATAGGAATAGGGGATGGAATTGGGGATGGGATGGGATGGAAGGGACTTTGCAAGTCTTCTAACCCAAAGCAGGAGTCCTTATACCATCCTGGACAAATCTTTTCTTGAAAACCTCCAGCAATGGAGCATTCACAATTTGCAATTTGTTCCATTGGTTAATTGCTCTCACTTCCAGAAAATTTCTCCTTAGTTCCAGGTAGGATCTCTCTTTAATGAGCTTCCACCCATTGCTTCTTGTTCTGCCTTCAGGTGCTTTAGAGAATGTCAACCCCTTCATCTCTGTGACAGCCCCTCAAGTACCAAAAGACAGCTATCATGTCACTCCCTAATTCTTCTCATTTTAGGCTGAACATATCTAGTTCCCTTAACTGTTCATTGCATAGTTCAGACCTCTTTTCATCTTTGTTGCTCTTGTGGGATTAAACCAGGCAATTCAGGAATCTAAATTGCCGATTCAGGAGATCATTAGAAAATAAGCAGAGCTAGATCACTTTCCAGAGGGGGCCTATTAAGAGACAGATCATAGAAGTACAACAAAAGAACACGATTGTCGCTTACAGACCATAGCTCACAAAAAATATTATGAAGAAGCTACAGCCTATACTAGATAAAGACACAGTGCTTTCTTAGGATTGGGTGGCAGCCCAATACTTGAACACAGACTACCAACTCAACTTGAAGCAAATTCTCACAAGCAACAGGCAACAACAGACAATGATTCTAACATGGGAACCAAACCAAGATGTCTACGCTTTCCCAACATTTACATCAACAGCACTATCAGAGGCCTAACAACTTTACACGCAAAATTAGAGGCGCCTTCGCATGTCCTTCCTCTAATGTGATATGTGCCACGATCTGCCAGAGGTGGCTGTTGTGGATTCTGCATAGGACAAACAGAACAAACATTGTACAAAAGAATTAATGGGCTTGAGTTTGAGTTTGATATCAGGACTTAAGATGAGGATCAAAGCATTCCTGCATCTCAGATACTTCATTAGAGATCTCAAAGAAGCCATTTTGGAAACAAAAAATGTTAAAGACAAAACTGAGAGAGTGATTGCTGAAGTCATCCAAAGGTTTCCAGCTATCTCGGAAAGTCTCAAAAAACACAATGAGTTTTTGACGCCATATGATTGTTGTTTGATAAGGAACTTGTTTTCTGTCTCATGTATAACCTGTGTAAGCATCCTGCTTTGCCTTCATTTCCCTCCTGCCTCATCCTATGCCACTTTAGCCACGCCAGTTGTGGTTGTAGTTTAATGCCTCTGGGTGACTAGCACCTGATTGGTTTATCCTCCAAACTTTCTGTTTTCAATATCTACATCATGGTGCCTTGATATAATTCAATCTTCGTGAAATGGGCTGCCTGATCAACTATGGAATAATGCCAGCGTTTGAATTGACAAAGTACTCTTTTCTGGATCTTCTCTGATTATCTTTACATTTTGAAAGATATTATTCTACAGATGCCATTGCTTGTAACTTAAGTGATTACACTTTTCCTTTACTTGATTGCATTTTACCTAAATCGTCATGTTTTTTGTGCAACAAAGTGTATTTCAATTTGTTGAAGATCCTGTGCCAAGGATTTTTTGAAGGGGTTTTAGCTTTCTTTAAATCACTGTGCTTGATGCTCTAGAGTGATTAGCATATAAAACATCTATTCTTTGGGGCAACCTTGCATGACACTTTTGTCTGAAATAAAGCCATAGTTTCAGGAGGGACAAGATAATCTGTGCATCACCGTTCTTTTTATGGTTGCTGTTAAACTACATCAAGATGATCAACTTTTTCTGGGGTTGGAGTTGCGGATTATTGTCCTAGCTTTCCAGGGATATGGCAACGGTATTGGAAGGTGCTGAGAATTTTCAGCCTATTGTTTGCTCAGTTTGGGGACTTGAGGTTAAGTGTGGAAATGGAAATATTTTGCTTTTAGCCTTAAGATATCCCCAAGCATCCAACCTCAGACAAAAAATGTGCCATAAAAATTGTTCACTTTTGTTGTCTATGGAGATTCTCAATCATCCAGGTCATTATGGTCCCAAAGGTACTTTTCCGAAAGGCAGCTGGATTATCTTGGTTTGTTTTTTTTCTTGAAACTATTTCACTTCACATCCAAGAAGCTTCTTCGGAACTAAAGAAGCTTCTTGGATGAGAAATGAAACATTTTCAAGAAAAAAACAACGAAGAAAGTCCAGTTGCCTTTTGGAAAAGCACCTTTGGGATGTCCACTTTGTTTCTCAATTTCAGCAGCGTACCCATCCCTCCATGGGAGTGTTGTAGTTTTTTCCCTCAAGCATTCAAACATTGGAAAGCGGATAGGCAAGAAAAGATCCTTACTTATATCTTTTTTTTTTTAGAATTGCTGATTGGTGAAAGTTTGCTCTTTTCATTTTCATGTGATTTTGTTTCTTATCCTGATGTAAAACTAATCTACCTTAAAAAGTGTTTCATAAGTTATTGCAGGAGGCTGCACCCCAGTCCTTGAAAGAGAACGTGCAGTAGTTTCAGTGGCAAAATTAACAGTGTTGTCAGCAGCGCTGAATTAACCTTGCTTTAGATCAGGATTGAAGAGGATTTACATAAAATATAACAAAAGTACCGTTGTCACTGAGGAAGCAACAATATGTTGCCGATTCTAATGATATGTTGGATTCTTTCAAATTACTGTATATCCATTTTTTTTTCTCTTTGCAGAATCCAGCTGCTGCTCCTTCCAGCTGGTCTGAATTAGATGTGCTGATCCTGGCAGGCACCATTGGCCATATTTCAAGTCTGGGTGCTAGCAGCTTTATTGAAGAAGAACACCAAACCTGGTATTTCCTGGTCAATACCCTTTGCCTTGCCCTCTGCCAAGAAATCTGTAGACATTATTTCTTGACAAAGGACGGTGATCTGCAGATCCTCCCAACGGGTAAGGCAAAGGCTGAAGAAATGGAAGAAACGCCTTCCCACTACAGAAGTGATATTGAAATGACAGAGGATGATCTGAAGATGGGCAGAGGGGCCAACCCTGTAAGCATAAATAACTTCGAGAAGTGGATGGCTTTAGCAACTCCCTGGCTCATCCTTATCATCTGTAGAGTGCTTCGTTCATTGAATCAAACTGGAGTCCAGTGGGCGCATAGACCAGATTTTGGACATTGGCTGACAAGGTACCTATTTGATTTTTGTAACGTAGATTGCTTAAGGTCTAGTGCATAAGTACATAGTGCCTCAGAAACCGATTGTCCTGTCAGAACTGGGGACCCCCGAGGACTGGTGAGATACTGAAGAGGCTCCCTTGCTATTGACATTTGCCCCTTGCCTAATATTTGACCTCTTTTACCCTGGTGCTTTTAAACACTTTAAAATGTTTTAAATAATAATTGTCTTATATATATATTAATTGAGTTTTAGCCTTGTTGTAGATGGCCCAGAGTCCCTGTTTTGTGCGGTGGGTGGCCATATACATTTGATAAATAAATAAGATATTTCTTGCATCACTCCACTGGTGGGATACAGAGAAAAACCGTTCAGTATATCTTCTTTCTCTCTCTCTCTCTCTCTCTCTCTCTCTCTCTCTCTCTCTCTCTCTCTCTCTCTCTCTCTCTCTCTCTCTCTCTCTCTCTCTCTCTCTCTCTCTCTCGCTCTCTGATATGATATAATGATTTAACAAAAAAAAAATCAGTAGTTACTCCGATAGCAAGCTGTAGAAATCCTTCAACTAAGTCGGAAGAGAAACATGTCTTTAAACTTTTAGTAACTTTAACTACAAGGTATGGCTAGCAGAGTTCTTAATTCTCTGGTTAAAAGTTGTTTTTTTAAAATATTTGCAAGATATATTAATTATACGGTGCTTGGGTATATTTCTTCCCTTGTTTCTTAAATAAAAAATAAGCTTTATTTATTTATTTGACATATTCTGCTTTAGCCTGAAAATCTCGAACAAGATTTGTACATGTGAATATTGTATCCGTTCCCCCCACCTTCTCCCTTTCTGCTTCCCTGCACTGTGTTTTGGGTTATTGAGTATGTGAAGGGAGGGGAAAAACCATCAGCTGAGGATGATAACCATCCAGCTGAGCAGTGACTTAAAATGAATTTAGCTTTCCCCAACTGAATGCCTTCTAGATAGGGGTCAGACTAAAATGCCCATCACCCAAACCCATCACCCCCAGCGCCATAGGAATTGGCTAGTACATTGTTTCACTTGTTCTGAGGCTGAAGTGCAGGCAGATTTTTCTTTTGGAAAAGGAAGGAAGCTTAACCCAGTGGCTTTCTTACTCAATGCATGTGGTTATTCTGGCCTCTCCCTTTCTTTTCCTACTATCTCTGTCTTAACCAGCAGGTGCTAAAAGAATACCTGTGGAGGAGGAGGAGTTGAGTTGGGGTTTGGGTCAGGATCAGTTAAAACTTTTTTTTTCCCCGTTTCTTAGTCTGATGACATGAACAAATTAATCTTTGCATCTCTTGCTAAAGCTTCCCTTTCTACCTGATTATGTTTCTTTCACCACAGAGCGAAGCTGCAGGGATGTGTGAGTGCGACACAACATTCCCGCTCCTTAACCAGAATGTTTCAGCAGCACGTTTGTTCTGCTGGCACAGTGTGCTTTTTAGAGCACACCTGATTTACTAAACGGAGTATGCTGCTATAGCCGTGTGTGGAAACCCACCAACGGCTGTGTTTCTGCAGGCCTTGCAATGTGTGTGTATGGGGGGAGAGGGGGAGAGGTATTGCTAGAACCCCCGTGACTCAAAGCTGTGTGTGCACTGTGCTAAAAATAAAACGAGAACTAAGCACCAAGGCAACCCAACTGCTGTGACGCAAAAAGCCAAATTGTGTTGCTTTTTATAAACTGCCTTTTAAAGATTCCTTTCGCATTGTTTTGCTTTGTTTGCATTGCTGATGCTTATCGAAAGGAGCCAGGAGCTGAAACTTGTCTTCCTAGATTTTATCAGATATTGATCACACATCTTGGCAACTATAATGCCTCGAAAGGCGCTTTTTCGAATAGACAACCTCCCCCCCCCAAAAAAAAACCCCCCCAGTTAAATGTGAGATTTTCCTGGAAGCTGGGAGCAATGTTAAGCTGATGTCCAGTTGTGTTACATACGGAATCCTAAAAAAACACAGGATTGTGTTATCAGGTTTAGGCTTGTTAAAAAAATAATGTTTTTTCTGAGAAGCAGGAAGTCGCATGATCTGATTGCCACGTAGAAGAAAAGATTGATGCAATGGCGTTCAGGAGAATGGTTCCACAGAAATACCTACTAAATTTTCTGACAAGGTCTGCCAAAGAAAGTACTCCTGGGGCTCCTTTTTCTGGTCCCAGTACCATATTTCCCCCCAAATAAGACCCAAACGGAAAATAAGCCCTAGCATGATTTTTCCAGATGCTCATAATATAAGCCCTACTCCAAAAATAAGCCCCAGTTAAGATCGCCAGCGAGATGCATTTAGTACCATATTTTTCCCCAAATAAGACCAAACTGGAAAATAAGCCGTATTGCATCTTTTGGAGCAAAAATTAATATAAGATCCGGTCTTATTTTGGGGAAAACACGGTATATATCAGGGATCTGTAGACAAACCAGTTTTATAGATAGAAAGATGTTTCCCTTTCTTTACACTAAACTTTCATCAAAGATTTTTAGGGAAATTATTTCTATAGAGCTCTTCCACATCAATACGGTTATCATCTTAGAATGCAGTGGTATTTTCCCCTTTGTCAGAAGTTCCTCAGTGAGATCCGAGAGGGCGGGGAAAGTTTCTTGAAAGACAATTTCCCTGCCGTTTATGAATCTTCTTCAGCCACCTGAAACTGCAGCCACGCCTTTAGTGTTTTACTAGACCACGGTGGTATAGTATCATGAGTCTGGGCATTGTGCATCCCACAATATGCCCCATAATCCTGTACACAATGCAGTTGATTCCATATTGCTGATCTACTTAGGGTAAAAGATTTTTGTCCCAATTTCCTCTTTAATATTTTTTCCAGAATGGGAAAGTGTGTGTATTTTTTTTTGCCAGAATTATAAGGGTGATTATTATAACAAGTGTAACTAATGGAGGCAGATTTGCTAGTAGAAATAAAGGTATATCAGCGATTTCAAATCTATTTAAGCTCTGCTTAGCACTTAAAACAGAGCACTGTATGTTACTGGGAGAATTCAACAAGTATTGGCCCACAGTTGAGAAAGCTTCCTGTAGTTATCATCTGATTAACTTTAATGAAGGTGCCCCACAAAGCCAATCTAAACAGAACAGAACAGAACAGAACAGAACAGAACAGAATAGAATAGAATAGAATAGAATAGAATAGAATAGAATAGAATAGAATAGCAGAGTTGGAAGGGACTTTGGAGGTCTTCTAGTCCAACCCCCCTGCTCAGGCAGGAAACCCTATACCATTTCAGACAAATAGCTATTCAGTCTCTACTTAAAATCTTCCAGTGTTGGAGCATTCACAACTTCTGGAGGCAGGTTGTTCCACTGATAAATTGTTCTAACTGTCAGGAAGTTTCTCCTTAGTTCTAGGTTGCTTCTCTCTTTGGTTAGTTTCCACCCGTTGCTTCTTGTCCTGCCCTCAGGGGCTTTGGAAAATAGCTTGACTCCTTCTTCTTTGTGGCAGCCCCTGAGATATTGGGACACTGCTATCATGTCCCCCCTCGTCCTTCTCTTCATTAAACTAGACATACCCAGTTCCAGCAATATGAGCAACTGGATGAAGGAGAAGGTTTTCCCTGAAAGACCTGGATCCCAATTCTTTGGTAGGTTTTGAAAGGAAGTATTCTAATTATAGACCCCGTAGGCTCCCGAGAGTCAAAAACAATATGGAAACTGCTCACTGAAAATGAAGAGCTTGAAAGACCCCTGAGTTAATGGCTTTTGCAAAAGGCAAACGAAATCCTCACATCGTTCAGTCAAATGACTTTATGAAGAATGCGAAGGTTCTAGAGAGGTAACACAGATACCTTGAATGGGATTGTCAAACGTCTGATATTTTGGCGCAGAATAAATGCTGCCGAAAGAGTTTACAGAAGCTGATGTGGTGAGAAAAGACTACTGGTTTTCTGATCAGTGAATGAATCGAAGCTTGCTAAGAAAGAGAAAAATAAAACTTGTCAGCGAACCTTATAAAAAAAAAAATTTAATTGAATTTGTTGTTGGTTTTACAGCTCTGAACACAAAGCTGAACTTTCTCTTCTGGCATCAGTGTCTCTAGTTATGATCCTTGTACTTGTTCATCGAAGATGTTCTTTGGTTTCGAAAATAGCAATGGCACTTGGACTCTTGGGAGTGTACAGTTACCGGGCAGCGATAGGAAATGTGGAATTTCCATGGCAACGAGACAGAAAAGATATTTCAAAGTAAGTTCATTAGCAAGCTATGTAAATGTACTTAACACCTTGAGGTCTAAAAGAAATATCACAAATAAGTACTACGTGGGTTTGTGCACATGTTTTCTAAGAGTTGTGGGCAGATTGCAGATTTGAGTGGTTTACACTGTTTTGACAAGAACCCTGGAATCTGCCAGTGGAGGTGTCGATGCAAAAGACACACGCTTAAAATTAGAGAGTTTTGATCTTAGGAATTTATTTTGCATACTACAACAGAACAGTCCTTCTGTTCCTGGGTAACTCAGGTTTCCCCCATTTTAGCAGTTTATTTTAGGCAAGCCTGAGAGATTTCTTATGCTGCTGCAATTATTTATCCATTTAATGGCTTTAGGCACTTGCCTCTGGGTGGCTATCAATACATTTTTTGTTGTGTCGTTCCTGTGGGCTGCACAGGACCTGGATAGAGATCAAACATCTCCAGCGTGGCATGGCAGAAATGTTTAGGTTCTATTCCCAAAGAGAATGTGTGGGGAACATTCTAAAGCACGGGTGTCAAACTCACCACGTCACGTGATGTGTCGCGGTGTATCGCGACTTTTTCTCCATTGCCGGAGCTGGGGGTGGGCGCGGCCTCCATATGATGCAACCGGCTCGCGGGCCGGCAGTTTGACACCCCTGTTCTAAAGGGTAGGTTTTATACTATAAGTGCTGCATCTTAAATTCTCCTGATAAGAAAATACTATTCCCCTATGGGTCTGGTTGTTTGCACCTAACATGACAAGAACTTCAGTCACCTTAGCGAGGTCATCCCATTCCAGTTCAGCTCCAAGGTACAAACTCTCCACTTCTACTTTAATACTCCCTTTACTTCACTTTCGTATTATAATCCCTCCAATCCAAACAACACTACAGAATTATACTATAAATTAATGTAATAAAAATTTAAAATTAAAAAAAAAACTTTGGCTTTTGGAGGAGCTCTTTACAGCCTTTCCCGCCTATCCACCATCTTCAAATTAATATAATAAATAACAGTACAAAAATCTGTTATCATTCTTCCCCCATTTAGTCATAGATCAAAATGGGCAGGATAGAAGATAGAGCAGCTAAAATTGCGATGAACCTCATGGATCAATTCAAGCATGCTGTTCCCACCAGTGGCTAAATATTTTTGAGAACTTACCCGATCAAGTCAGCAACATTCCACTATCATTTGTCCTCAGGTTCTACAGCATCAGTTCTGTTGTATAGTATTGTAAATACTGTCCCTTGAATGCCCAAAAAACCCCCACAATTACTGTCCCATGTTCATATCCAATAATGGGACCTGGACAGGAGGCCCACAGGAGAAAAAACAAGATTAGAAGGGGACCCATGTGAAAAAAAATAACTAGAGTATTCTGCCTTTAAACATGTGTAAATGCCGACAGATTATTTGTTGTCTGTTATAGGCAACTAATTAAATGTTAGAGGGCAATGGTAGGTATCCCTGTGAAAAAAAAGTTTGGGAAAACAAAAACTGTTATGTAAGAAATGATTGGTAGGAATTAATACCGTATTTCCCTGAAAATACGACCTAGCCATAAAATAAGACCTAGCTTATTTTGGGGGGGTTTAGGTTAATATAAGCCCTACACCAAAAAGTAAGCCCTACTTAACCCTGCCCACACCATCCCACCGTAGTTTTTTTGGCAGGCTGGATCGCGTGCTTCCCCCCCACCTTACCTGTGCCGGTGCCACCGCTGTGAGTTCAATTTTGCAGCTTGGCTAAATTGTTCAGCTGTGGCGGGTCGCAGTTCCCATCAACTTCAGGAAAGCTTAGCCCAGGCTCCTCGCAGCTGAAGCAATCCAGCTCGCCCGGGGTCAGGTTGGCCGTTGCGGGAGGCGTGACCCATTCCCGTCATCCAGCTCCGCTGCACATGCAGGATGAGCCTCTCGGAACGACCAACCTGACCCTGGGCGATCTGGATTGCTTACAAGGAGAGGTTGTGCATTGCAGGAGGATGACTGCAAAGGAGATCCCTGCACCCAGATCCCTGCAGCTCCTGGAGGCTCCGAGCACTGCTTTTTGTGCCGCTCGGTTTCCCACCCCACCCCTCGCCAGGCTAATTTGGTGGGTGGGATTGCCTTCTGTCTTCCCTGCTGCTGCATTGGAAGCTGATGCTGCCCTCCTGAGAGGCGGCATGGTGATTGGACGGTGGTCACGCTGCGAATTGGGATAGACCACCTCCCAAAACGCCACCAAAAACAGCAAAGCAAACCCGCACACAGATGCGGCGCCAAAAACAGCGGTGCGAAAAGGGTGCACACGGATCCTTGTAGCTCCTGGAGGTCCGAGCATAGCCCTGGGGCGGCCGTGCTGGGCGGCGACGGGAAGGGTGCTGAGGTAGCAGGTGGAGCGCCGGAGGCTCGGGAAGGGAGGGTGGTGAAGTGGCCGAGCAGGGCGCATATGCCCTTCCCATGCCAGGCTAGCCCCTGCAGCCCCAGGGTGGCTATGCTGGGCGGTGATGGGAGGGGCGCTGAGGTGGGGCGGCCAGGCCGAACAAAGCGGCAGGTGGAGTGCTGGAGGCTCGGGGGGGAGGGAAGATGGTGAAGCGGGTGGGCGTCCTGCCATCAGCACCCATCCCTTTCCTTACCTGACTCCCAGCCCCATGCTGTTTCTCCTTCACGATCCACTACCGCCACATGCTGGGAAACACGTGGTGGTGGGGGAAAGGTCAATTCCATCTTCGCCCTGGTACCATATGTGGTCTGCCACCACACTCTCGCTGCTGCGTTGCTTCTCCACCCCATGCACAGGCCTTGCCCCACCCCTGCGCGCTCGCGATCTACCGGTACCAGCAAAAATTAAGCCCTCCCCGAAAGTAAATCCTAGTGCTTACTTCAGAGTCCGAAAGAAAGTAAGACCGGGTCTTACTTTCGGGGAAACACGAAATCTGTTGATATTTATAAAAGCATCTCAGAATGTGACTCTTTCTTCCTTATAACTGCTAGCATAATATTAACATTTCCTGAACGTTCATAGATGCATGTAGCTTAAGGTTTGTGGCCTGACAGTAATATGCCTTCTTAAAGTTCATCAGAGTTGTTGCTTTGATCAGTAAAGTATGCAACTATTTGTGATTTCAGGCTAGAAGTGTTCTTGAGCATAGCACTGGGTTAGATTCCTAGTACCTTTTTAGAATGAAAATAGAGTAGATATTTATCCTGAAATTGTAATTTATGGCTGCTTGATTTATGGCATCAGCCTGAATAATACTTTTCTCAAAGCCTGTGCTTTGTAAAGCACTCTAATGAAATTCAAATAGCAAATCTTTTTCTTTCTAATCCTTGCTTGATATGCAAAGCTGGCATAGTTTTGCTCCAGTGGCTGTCACCCAAACGGGAGGTTGTACAGAAAGAATGTGAGAGGTGCACTATGTTTGTGACTTGTTCATAATTTTTAACGATGCCTGTTCCATCAGTGGACCTGCTGCATTGTAAATGGATAAAGCAGCACTTAACAAGAAAGGGTGGAAAATGACTGTCACTCTATACTTTTGAAAGATGCGACCTGCAGGAGGCCTCCTGGTGTTTAACTATTCTGACAGCCGTATACTATATACCCAGATTTCTTTAGGTCAGTTCCAGTAGGATCAGAGGTCTCATCCCAGGTATTGCCATGCAACATAATCAAATCTCAAAAACCATCCCACTTCTAGTTTTTGAATACTGTGAGTCATTTAAATTGCTGTTCTTTGATTAAGGGTTAGTTTCTAAGTTTTCTTCTTAAAAATGCATATACATATATTTCGGACTGTTGAAATTTTAAGATATTTCCTTGTGATCTTAGAAAACCACTACCCGTCAGGATAAAAAAAGCATATTGTTGGGTCACTGTGTTCCATTCAGAAGATTATTCATTATTGTTGGCAACTAGGCTGGCATTTAACGAGAAGCCCAAGATTAGAAAACTCACGGTGTCAACTCTTGTACAGGCCACTATTGGCCTGTAACAAATCTGTTAACTTTCAGGTCATATAACATTTTCATGTAACATATGCTTCACTGCAAGATTCCCTTTAAATGTACTTAATGAGTAAATGTATACTTGGGACACATACGGACATGGACTGCAACAATCATATAACATCGGCCACAGGAGTAGTTGTATAAAGTTTTACTTCCCATTTCCCCACCCCACCCCCCCAGCTCAGAATTTTAAAATGAAATCCCAATTGTTCTGTTTAAAAGTGCTGGATTAAGATAAAGATGTAGATAAGGAAAGGATGATGATGATGATGATGATGATGATGATGATGATGATGATGATGATGATTTCAAGTTTTAACAGCATCTGAGATTAAGTCATTAAGATTTACTAAAATCTATTTCTTCCATTTAATGAAGGTGACTCTAATCCAATAAGAGCTTATGCCATAAGCAATTATGGTGATCTCTAGGCAGAGTGTCAGTTTGAAGCTGATGAGATTTAGGGCAGTTAATTATTTTATGAGGGTTGCGCATGAAAAGAAAAAAAATAATGGATTGGAGATCCGCTTTTAAGTGTTGATTGATGTTGGATGGATTTGGCCAAGACTATTTTTCTTGTAGCGATTCTGTCTTTAAATTCTTCACTGAATTAACTTTAATGCAGGATTAGTGGCATCCTGATTAGTGGCATCTATTAAAATATCTATATGGGAGAGTATAAAACCACTGATTTAAGAAAAAAAATATCGTGATGAAAAACAGTATGCAGAGGAAGAATATTGGTGTAAGCTGGCGGTAGAAAAACATTTGGAAGTAAAAACAGCCATTTGTTTTTATTTATTCACTTACCGTAAGTTCTGTCTTGCTTGTTATCATGGTAGGGAAGATACAGCAGAGAAGAAAGTCTTAGGATTTTCCAGAACATTTAAAATTGATATTTAAGAATTTAGTAGGTTTGGGTTTTTTTTCTTGTTTTGTTTTGGAGTTCTTAATATTTCTTGCCAAGATTTTGGGAGCAATCAATTATGTATATTGTGTTGTTCTTTCATTCAGGATCGATATCTCCAAGTCAAGTCTTTGATGCATCCTTGTTGCGTGCAAAGTCTCCATTCTGTCAAGGGCCAGTGAATAAGGGGAATTAGTCTACCACATTCTCCTTTTATTTTTTGACCCCTCTTGAGGCATTTGAAGGAATCTATTGGGACTTATGATTGACTTATAGGTCCATACTCTTGTAGAATGGGCTTTCCAGAGAAAATTGTTGAATGGGGGAAATGAAGAACTTTTGTAATCTTTTTGCTCTTTATTGGGGAGATAGTAGCATACACGAATAAACCGGGCTCCTCAGATGTAAACTATCTTTTACTTATATATTTGCATCCCGAATGGCTTCAATCAGTCACTTGTACTTAAAGATACTTTTGGGTGTTGATGTTATCCTATTTCACATATTGGGGGTTAACTCTGAAGAATTATAGAAACTCTTGGGCTGCAAAATACTGTTGTTAACAATGGCTTATTTAAATCCCAAAAGTGGTAGGATTAATTATTATTAATACTGTATGGTTTTATGGATTATGTAGTTTTTATGGATTTTAAGAACCCCAAATTGTGTGTAACAGAGAGGATTAGTTCAGACTTATGATTATAAGCACTCATCGTGCTCTTGATGCCTTGCAGCTGACTGAAGTATTTATTTGGAAATAAGTTCTGTGGAGTTCAGCAGAAATTGTTCCTCAGTACATGTACATTCAAATGGACCATTACATTTTGTTAAATTGTGTTGCAGTGGGAACAACTCTATAGCTATGATGGCAACAGTTTCATATAGGGAATGATCTACCCACTTTTTGCTGTGGGAGAAAACTTTGTTTCAGAGGATGTTAAAGTAACTAAGACAGTAATGGCGAACCTTTTAGAGACTCAGTGCCCAAATTGCAACCCAAAACCCACTTATTTATCACCGGGTGCCAGGTGGGCGTGGCCACGGTGGTCATGGCAGACCGGGTGGGTGGGGCCAGGGAGGCGGGGGCCAGTCCCTTACCATCTCCGGGGCATGGCACGTGTGCCCACAGAGAGGGCTCGGAGTGCTGCTTCTGGCACACGTGCCATAGGTTCGCCACCACTGAACTAAGAGCTTTGGGACAGAAAATCTCCAGTTCAAATCCTCACCTGTTCCCCATCTAAGCACATTCATGTATAGATAACGTTTTATTTTCTGGATTGGGATTTTGAATATACACATATTAGTTTAATATATGTATGTATGTATGTGATAGAACATTAATGTTGTGAAGGCAGATGTTGTGGTGGCATGCTTAAGAATGATTCATATTTTACTTTTGAAACCTTTTGAATTAACAGACTTTTTTTCCCCACTATTCCTGAGAGAAATTCAGCAGAGCTTTCAAATATCGATCAGCTTTCTGAAACTAATTTCATACATATTTATTTGACAGTGCTGTGTATTTTTTGGCTAAGTTTACAGTATAGCACAGTAAGCTTTTAACTGCATTCATTTCAGATAAATATGTATGGAGTTAAACTCATTCTTTTCAGAATGCTGGTTTAAGATACTTTCCTGCTCGGATCACTCTGTTTCATTTAAACTATTGTATAATTCTGTTTGTTGGGATGCATAATGTGATCATGATGAGTTTTACCATCAGTAATGGCACACGCCCACTACTTGTTTTGAGTTAAGCCTTCTCTGCCTTTTAGCAAATTATGTCCAGCGATAAATGTTTGAATCATCAGAAGTTGATTTCATTATGTCTTTTTATTGTCTCTTTTCAGGGGCATAATTGAAGCACGTTTTGTTTACATCTTTGTTCTTGGCATCATCTTCACAGGCACAAAAGATTTATTCAAATCTCTATTTTTTTCAACGGATACTAAGATCAAGTTTACAGGTTTATGGGAAATCTACAGTGGGCTGGTTCTGCTATCAGCTCTCTTGTTCAGACCTCATAACTTGCCAGTTTTGGTCTTGTGCCTATTCGTTCAAACCATGATGAGAAACTACATCTGGAAGCCACTGGATTTTGATGCTGCTCAAGTTACTATCATGCATTATTGGTTTGGACAAGCATTTTTCTTTTTCCAGGTAAGCCAGGAATTGCAAATCTTTAGAAAGAACATGCAGCCATGTATAAGCGAATTAAGGAGCTAGTTTCTAATATCAGTTCAGGTGCTGATGATAAGACTTTAGATCTTTGTTAACAGCTTATATTATCACAGCACTTATTTTGGAGAAAAGAGTTGAATAAAAGGTAGTAGATCCAACTGATACAACAGTCATTCTCTTCACATTTCAATACTTTTGCCATGATGTTTTATTTCCTCTAATAGTTATAGTTTATTTCAATCATTTTTATATCCTGTCTATTCTCCCAGACAAAAGCACGAAGCTTCAGATACTGCTTTCTTCCTTTAACTAATCTGGAATGGAGTTTCACAAATGTCTGGTACTCCAAACATTTTAAATAAAATAAAGCCTTTGATGAAGAAAAAACGTTTTAGATAAATTTTTATTGGGGAAGGCCATGCATAAAATATGTAGCCCTTTAAATTGTACCCAGGAACCAATTAAAGCCAGAGTAGTTGGTGTAAGACTGATTTAGTGGTCTATAAGGCATGGAAGAATTATAAATAGGGCAAAAATATTCATTTCTGTAGTCTGTAGTTTGTATTTACTCTTTTACAATTTCAACCCATTTTTAATATTTATAATTGTTCTAATATCTTTATTTTTTATTATGTTGTAAGCTAACTAGAGTTAACTCAGACAGTGAGATGGGCAGTTTTATAAATTTAATAAATAAATTAATTTGAGGGTCATTGTTCAGAGAAATAGCAGATTTACCTATTTGGGATGAGATCATAGTCCTCCTAAGGGGGTGTAGAAAATGAAATGTAGACCTCTCTTTTGTTTCCTAAACTAAAGAAACAGACAAAGCATTTTTTAAAATCAGGTTCACTCGAGAAACCAACAGTTCTTGAAAGAAAATGATTTTAAAACTGCAGCATCTATATGGATAATCTCTGAGCTAATGACTGAAATGTGCTTCGGAGGGCTGTTTTTATATCTAGTCCAGAAGTGTCAATTATACAGAACTTTGCAGCCAGGCCAGTTTCTAGGGGGGAAAAAGAAACAAGCAAAAAAGGCATTTTATCCTGGTGCCAGTTTCTTTCATCTGAGATACAGAGTATTGTTAATTGCCTTTAAAGCCGTAGGTGCCTTGGATTTTGAGGATGATTCCTCCTATCACTCACTGAGGCCTGGTAAGAAAGTTCACCTGTTATTGTCACAGATGTGTCTCAGGGCAGCTTAGAACAGTTTTCACATTAGCTGCTCCAACATTTTTGAGTGCATCCTTTGTTGAACTGACCGGCATAATTGTTTTCTTTGCTTTTTTTAAAAAAGTCTTAAAAATGCATCTTTTTTGACAGTCCCTTAATAGTTGGTCCCTTTAATTCATTGTTAATATTCTGGCTTTTAACTTGATTTTTTAAATTTTAAGGCTCTTTCTATTGTAAACCACCAAGGAATTGTTGGTGGTCTATAAAGATTGGTTATTTATCGTTTTACATCAGAAAAACCACTTTGAGTGCTATATTCTCCAGCACTGGAGATGGAGAATCCACCAATGGGTTTAGACTGTATTCCTGCCCAATCAGATCAAGTCAGCCAAAGTTGCCACGCCCGTCCTGGACCATAGAGACCCAGTCTTGACTTGATCTTGCCCAGGACAGACGTGCAAGTTTGGCTCTTAGGCAGGTACAGGTAGCTATTGGTGGATTTTCCATCTCCTTTCCATTTTTCCCTTACCAAAAATTCTGACTAGTGCTTAGCACACAATTTGGCCTTACAACATTATTTCTTCCTCTCTCTGTGTTTCTCTTTCTTTCTTTAAGAAGGTTAAACTGGGGATTTATTTTCCTTCAGGATGTAACTTTTAAAGGCCCTTTCAAGCACATGGATTATGTTGTAGTAATCTGAGAAATAATTAAGGCATGGAAAAATCTGGTCTTTAGAGAAAGTGGTGCTCTAACTAAAAGAGGCTGGAAAGACAATCCATTGGCTACTGCTTTTATGCTATTTAAAAAAGCTTTTGTCTTGAAATTGAAATTATTATTTCTCCTAGCACCTTTCCACATAGACTCTGTTTATATTTAATTTCTCAATTGTCCAAATTTATATCTAAATGAAGACTGAAGACAGGCTGCAGATATAAATTATTGGATGATCAGTGCAGCACTATATCAGCCCTTTGATTTTAGGCAAGAACTGCTTTTATTGAAGCGTTTAAAAAAAAAGGCTTGCCACTTAAATTGACCAAATGTTACTAATTTTTTCTCAATCTATAAGAATTTTAAGAAATTTTTGCATTAGGAAATCCTAAAATGAAGATAATACTTTTCTGGAGTAGAAAATGTTGAAATGTGACAATATCTTTGGAATATATAACTAAACTGTTTCTGGATAAAATTTGCTAGTTTCACTAGTTAAAATTTTAAAACTAAAACACAATTTTATACTGTCTACCTCCCCATTAAATGAAGGAATCTCTTTATATTTTATGTTAGCTGCATCTATTTAAAACACAATTCTCTTCATTTATTATTGGATTGCAATGATATTTCAGAATAAACAGACAGTTTTAGAAAAAAAAAATCATGCTGTCACACTCTTGTAGTACAGTTTTAAATTTAGGAGTTATGTTTTCAGAATATTGTCAGACTCAGTTACCCTTAGCAGCTTTTGTCTAGAAATAAAAGGAACCAAACAATTTTGAACTACTTATATTTTGTGTCTCTGCCTCCAGCTATCAATGCCTTTTATTTGATACATTAATCTATACAGACTTATATTTTCATATGGTATTTAATAACCTAATCTATTACTGACTTCTCCACATCTTTCCTTGGGGCACTTAGCTAATGAACCAGATGTGTTTTGGTGACAAATAAGAATCTCTTTAGAGGTGAAGATGAATGAACACATCTAGCTAATTAAAAAGCATTGCTTATATCTTTTCCTTCCTATTTTCTGCACTTCAGGGATAAAAAATTTAGAATGTTAAAGTTATATGGGACATACCAACCTAATGTAGGTTAGAAAGAGATACGGATGGCAAAAGAGGAGGAGAAAAATGGTGTGGCTAACAGCCCAATTCGTGTGCACGTGAGTCTCTTCTGAGCCTGTAGTTCTGTACTTCTTCACTTATTTTGCTACCATCAACATGCTGCAATCTGTAATTCCTTTATATCGAGTTCTAGCTTCATAAAACTTCAGTGCTTAGCATGAAGCTTTCTGTCAGGCTTATTGCCTCTACGTGCAGGGAAATTTTGGCAAAAAGAATTCTTGTTTATGATCAGAATATTAATGTCAAGAGTTCCAATTTGTGATAATCTAGCAGTGGCTTTCCTGCTATGACAAATAGCTTCTGGTATTGATTTTGAAAGGCTCTCCGGCAAGGCACCCGCAATGGGTCTTCTTAACATAAAATAACTTGGGTGCAGACAAATCCACTGAGATTGGTTACAGATCTTCTGCAATGTAATCTTACACAATTGTATCTGAAATGTTTTTATGTAGTACTAGCTGTACCCGGCCACGTGTTGCTGTGGCTCAGTCTGGTTAAATGGAAAAGAAATGGAATCGTAAAATCGTAGCGTGTGTTGCTTTTACGTCCAACAGATGGCGCTGTTTTTCAAAAAAGCATGTTTTTACCTGTCACAGGTGTGACATCTATATAATAGTAGGTATATAAAAACACGTGCGTATTCGAATGCAACGTTGTGTCAAAATTTCAAAACAATCGGTGAAGAACTTTCGGAGATGTAAGATTTTGAACAAACGAACATTTACATTTTTATTTATATAGATTTTCTACATGAGATTTTTTAAAAATTGAAATTGTAACAATAAGCATACAAACTAAAATACAACCAAAAAGGAAAAGGAAAAAAAAAAGGAGAGGTAGAAGAAAAAGCTAAAAGTGCAAAGGAAAATGAAGAGGTGTAGGTAAAGAAAGAAGAAATGTAGAAAGAAGAATATATAAAGAAGTGTTTTCCCATCTTCTTTAAGGCAGATATAAGTACAATATTATTTTTTAACCTCTCTCTCTAGGATTACATCACGACTCTCTGTATTCTACCCTATCTAATCATCATGAGCATAAATCACAAGTTCATTTTTTTTCTTTTTTAAGCAAAACGTCCATAAGGAGTTTCCAGGCATCAGTAAATGAAGATATTGGCTTTTCTATAATCAAACAAGGCAGTTTAGCCATTTCAGCAAGTTTTGTCATCTTCGCCAATCAGCCCTTTATTGTCAAATCTTTCCATTTTGGGCATACAATAATCTCATTGCAGTTTTCATATATAAAAAGAGTGTTCCATGGCTACTTTCTAACTGTTTATCCCAAGACGACGAGTTCTGCTTTCAGTTGAATATTAATGCTTAAAAATTTCTGAATCACTGTATATACTTGTGCCCAAAATGTTATAGTTTTTTCCCACATCCACCAAGCATGATAAAATGACCATTCTTGTTCACTTTTCCAACATCACTTTGATGTGCCTTCAGACATTCTAGATAATTTTCCTGGCGTCATATTCTAACAGTATAAAGTTCCCTCTAAGATTGTAACATAATGTACATTTCAGTCTTTTCAACCACATAACAGTGTTTCTTCATTGCTCTATGTATCTTCATTATTTCTTGTCTATAAAATGCTTCTTATGCTGAGAGTGAAAAAGATATTTTCAGGCACAGCCTGGATTTGTATCTTTCCATATTCTCAGTGTCTAATACAGTGATTTTTGAAATCTACGTTAACCTTGACTTTTATTGCACCACAAGTGTCCATGCCGCCCAAATCTTAGGTCATGTTTTTCTAACGCTAAAAGTCTTTTATTTCTCAGCAATTCCCAAACCAAATAACAAGCTGCAAAATACAATTTCAGATCAGGTAGACCCAGTTCTCCTCTTTCCTTTGCACTTTGTAACATATTTAACTCATGGCTTTTTCTCTTGCCATACAAATTTAGATACATCTTTTTTTGCCATTAATTAAATGGTATACCAGTTGTCAAAAC